CCCCCCCCACACATATTGAACTTCTTGCCGCTGTCAAGCCTTATCAAGCTAGGAAATATGCCTCTATGTTACCGTTAAACAAAAATCCAAATCGGCTATTTTTGAAGAATTAAATTTTGATTTTTAAAAAATTATATATTCCTAAGAAGGGCTTCATTATTTCAAAGACAAGCATTAAAAACATAAATTGAAAATAGAAAAGAAAAAAAAATATAAGAAACAAATAAATACGTAAGAAAATTATGTTCTTTAATCCAAGAATTGATGATATAATAGAATTTTATAAAACTGATTATCGAACTTAAAGAATAATTCATATTTAATAAGTAGTCATTATAAGATGCTTGGAACAGTTCTTACTCATTATTTGGTGTTATATTTTAAAATATTTAAACGATATTCTTTAAAGTGTGCTCGTAATCAGACTATATTATTATATTTTTAATTAGTTTATTTTCAAATGCACACACTATAAAGAAACACATATAAAAATAAAACATTTATAACTCAAACAAAACAAGAGAAACATGATCCCCTAGAGCACTGTTTTCAGAAAACTCATTAGTCAAGCACAAAAATCAGCAGTAGGGCGATTAACAAATTTTGAGAGCATAATTTCTTCTCAAGAACCTGTCAAGAATCATGTTTTTCGGAGTCTAAACCGATTTGTGGCCGACTGGACGAGTCACTCTCATGTCGTTACAGTGCAGCATGCAGCCCGCGAGCCGTGATATGATGACCACTGCCCTAGAGTCTTGACATGCAATTTCATTTATTATGCAAAGAACTTCGAGATCTAAACACATTTCAGAGTGGTGTCTCTCGCGACCTTGGTGTTATCTCCATCCTCCTACGCCGCTGGTGTCATCTCCATCCTCCTACGCTGCTGCGTGTTATCTCCATCCTCCTACGCTGCTGGTGTTATCTCCATCCTCCTACGCTGCTGGTGTTATCTCCATCCTCCTACGCCGCTGGTGTCATCTCCATCCTCCTACGCTGCTGGTGTTATCTCCATCCTCCTACGCTGCTGGTGTTATCTCCATCCTTTTATCATGATTAGATCTGTGTCTGCATTAATCAGAAGATTTAGTTAACTCCACCACATCCATGTCGAAATGTCGCCGTTTGATCCGGCCTCTAAACTCGTGTGGTGAAAACTAACAACAGTCTTTCTGGGACAGGCGCCACCGAGGGATGAGTTAACATTATAAATTGGAAATGTTTTGAACATTCGATCTCACTGCGGGCAACCTGTTAAGACAAACCTCAAGCAACTTTTTCAATGAAGCTATTTCAATTCATATAGTATTCAGACACATACGGGGATCTCCGTTTACGATTGAACTTTTCAGGAATTTTAACGCGAAACGAAATGGTTTAATTACGTGAAACAAATCGAAACATTTAATATCAAAATACCGGAAAGTTTTGTAATAAAAGGGAGGGGGCATTCGACAATTCCTTCACTGTCGTATCCTCTCGTATGTTACGTTACTGCTAAGTGTTATTTTTTTTTATGATATTCTGTTTTTACTGTTGTTTGTCCGCTGACGAAAGCTTCTTGCCGATATGTTCGGTGTTTTGTTGCGGTCTATTTTACAGGTTTTCCAATACTTTGTCTCACTTTTTCCAAAAACCTTGACACGTTTTGATGATTCAATATTTTTTTTTTTAAATCGTCCCATTATTTTGTTTAGTTCATCACGTGTCTCTGCCAATGTTCAATAAAACAAATCTCTCTAAATTTCATCAATAATCGACCTTTACAGATGGATTAAAATGAGACGTTTCCTTTTCACTATCATAGACTTAAAGTACACAATGGGTTATAGTAATTCGCTGAGGGCGAGTTTATTTTCTTGCTTCAAAAACCCACTCTGCTTCTAATTGTCCATACAAAGACACAGTGGACATGCACTTCTTCAGTGATTCTCGCACCGTTTTCAAGATTGTTTATTTAGTTTACTTGCAAGGGCTAACAGTTCAGGGGAGGAATACAAAAAATAGGTCTTGGTTTAAGTGAATATTAACTATTTAGAAATGAGGGTTGTATCCGAAAATCAGCAGCAAAATAGGTTTTAGGGTTTCAAATTATTCGGTCGAAAGCTACGTTACCAGAGCCCGAAAACACCAACATCTCAACTACAATGAAATATTAATTAAATTGTTTGCTGCTTTTCAAGTTCGTAGGGGGAAAAATGCAGGATTCAATTTTATATATGAAAACATGTCACAAGACGCTAAAGTGTACAGTTTAGTTAATAATATAATTCAAATATCGGTGGCTTCTGTTGTTTCGATGGGAAACAATGATAAAACAACAAGATGACGCATTAAAATCTAAGCTTTACGAATAAGATACATAGTTAAATTTTATTAAATAATAAAGGTGATTGAATGCAGTGCAGACTGTGGATTAGCCCAAGTCTTTGTCAGTATAAAAGAAAACAGTTTTTTATGTGTTTCAAAATGGGTCCCTCCGCGAAAGAAATAAGTATTCATAGACCATCATTTTCGATCGTTTCTTTAATAATTGATTTGATTCTGAAGCGGGATCAAGTTTACATAAAAGTGGCAGAGCCATTCAAAGAGAATTTTGATAAGACGGCACCAAGTAACTATGTGTCCCGTCCATAGTTACGAATTCGCCGTCATGGAAGTGTCCATTAATGGAACAGGAAGTCATTCATGGAACATGAAGTCTGGACCACTTTCTTAAAATATAATAATTTTTATTGTGCGTGAAATATACGTCACTCTATTAGACCTAAAAAAATAAATGTCATTTCAGTAATGAGTTCATTGAAATTATGGAACAGTTAAACAACGCCCGCTGAATGGCTTAAGTGTCGACTCTTAAATTGTAGTCCAGGCTTTTTCTCAAGTCCTTATATAAATAGTTTCATCAAAGTTAAAACAGCACTTATTGTGACGTAACTTAGCGTACTGCTATTTATAGCTATAAAACAATTAATATGTCTCATTTAAGTATACGTGTCTGTTGACTCATTGCTGGTCCAGCTATTATTGGGGGGGGGGGGGATGTCTCCTTATGACTTCATTTCGACCACGCCTTATCGATACTCGAGTGCCGGGATCTGCCTTGGCGATATCGCCTGGTGGCTCTGCCACGATCTGTTATAGTTGTAATCTGATCTCGAAGTCCTCAGGTAATCGTCGTCGTCGTAATAACTACTACGCGTTATGCGCCTGTCGTCGTACTGATACTCGGGGTTGACCTTACGCCTGGGCGGGTAGTTGGGACGTTGCGGTGTCTGGCAGCAGCACTTGTACACAATGTACGCAATAAGTCCAATCACAGCAGCGGCGAGAAGGATCATAAAGATGGAGAACACGGCTATGAACCAGTCGTAATCCCAGATGGTTTTTTCGGGGGCTTTGGTGGTGGTGGTGATTGTTGTAGCGGCGGTCGTCGTCGTCGTGGTGGTGGTCGTGATGTACGTGTACGAGACGATGACCGTCGCGAAGGCGGATCTCGCGGGCGTCCCGCCGTCTTTGCATTTCACGACCATCGTGTAGGAACTTCCGGAGTTCGCAGCGGGGACGCTGCCGATGTAGTACAGCTCGCCGGCCCCCGTGACAGTGATGTAGCTGCCGGAGTTGGACGGGCTGGAGGACACTATCTCCACTTTGGTGTCCTTGTTGGGCGAGGTCAGGTCTTCGTCGGTCACTATGAAAGCGCCGAGTGCTCCAAGCGCTGTGTTCTGATCAATGCTCTGGTATATAGTGGACTTGTCGAAGGCGCACGTTTGATCGTTGTCGTCGGTGACTGTTATTATGACGCTGGCCGTTGCAGTGGCTCCACCACTGTCCACTGCTTTGAGAATAAGTGAAACTGGGTCAGTAGTATGAACCACATCGACGTCGTAAGCTACGCTGAAATAAATTCTGTTAGTCGATTTGTCGAAATAAAAATCACTACTGGCGGGCTCGAAATCGAGGCTGCTCAGAGGGTCTCCTTCGGGATCTGTGATTGTGAGGGAGAGGGTGCAGTAATGGTCGCGTTGAGCTCCTTCCGCTATCGTACAGTAGTACGGGTTACTGTTGAACACCGGGGGCTCGTTGACGTTTTCAACGTTGACGGTAAGAACGTCATTGCCGTCGGTGCTGAGGTAGCCGTCGGTGGCCCTGCATGTTATGGTGTAGGTCTTGCGGACCTCGTAGTTGAGCAGGTTGCTGGCGCTGAGGGTGATGGTGTTGTCAGCGTTCAAGGTAAACTTGTAACCGTCTGAGGACGGTGACGTGGTGCAGGTCGGTTTCACCGGCCCCGGGTACGCCGTATTGTCCTCAACGCTCAGCGCGATCAGCGTCGTCCCACTAACGGCGTCCTCGGGGATGTTGATGGAGGTGGGCAGGTTTAGGATGACCGGCGCCGTGTTGAGCTTGTTGATGTTCACCACCACGTGGAAGTCAGAGATGACGTTCTTGCCGTCGGAAACTTGAACCGTCAGAATATAGGACGATGTGCTGAGAAGCCGGAGGTCTCTGTTGGCTGTGATCTTGCCCGTAGCACCTGTTCAATAAAAGCAATTTTAAAATTGTCAAAGAAGTGGTTGAAATGTATACTTTTCTGTAATTGCTATTTTTTATGTGAAGCGCAGTGAGGTGCTGGGGTACTGCGTTATTTAAAACCTCAAAATGATAAAAATAATAATACTTGGCCATTAAAGTATTTGAACAAGACACAAAGGTATGTCTTATCTTTCAAAAGTAACTGTGACAGATCCATACTATTTGAAGCAAACTTAAAAGAAATAAACAATAAGATAAGATAGGACGTCTCCCCCCTCCCCAAACCAAAAACAAAACCAAATTGAAATACCTTAATTTGCCATATATCGAATGGTTTCAAAAAAAAAAATTATTGCAAAATCTGTATGGCATTTCTGGGCCGTGATTATTATAGTGTTTACATTCATAAAGAAGGGTGACCATCTTAATGAATGAAAATGCCTTCACTTAAAATATACATACATCAACAGTAATCAACCAAAAATAAAAACAATGCAATTTGCCACTCATCTGCAATTGCTTTAATTGCGCTACCCTGTACAAGAACGTACTTATAATTTCTAGTAAAAAATAAAATGAGTAAAACAGAGTATGGTTAAACCTGAAAAATTAAACGCAACAAAACAGCGAACGTGTCGGCAGAAAGCCTTCGTCAGCGAACAAAACAACAGAAAAAACGTTATAAAAATAAGAAATAGCACTTAGCTGGTAAGTAGTATCTGTGGGCAGCAATAGAAGTGTGGCAGAAGGAAAATGAGTGAGAGTTTAAATAAGCAGCGGCGAAAAAAAGGGGGGAGAAAAAAGTTCACTGTGATAGGTCAGAACGTGGAGGGGCGGAGCTAGGGTCAAGCTGTGAACAGAGACATAACATTAATCCCATCTGGCGTCAAAGTGCCGTAAGTCAGGATAAGTCTGTGTTCCAAATTGACCCGGCTGGCGGTGTTAGTGCTAGCCACAATCGCACTTATTGAAAAGTCCGCCTTGCCCCGGTGGTCGCTACTATTGAAGTGTTTGGAGACGGGACACTGTTTATCTTGTGTAATGTTTCGGAGGTGTTCGGTACACCTGTCCGAGAGACGGCGTCCAGTCTCCCCTATGTATGTCATCTGACAGCGGGTGCAGACAATGGCGTAGATAACGTTGCGGCTTGTACAGAGGAAACCGTCGCGTATCTGAAAACTGCCCTTGGGGAAACGTATGCGTTCAGTCTGGACGACAAAAGGGCACGTGTTGCAACGACTGCGTCCACACGGCTTGGTCCCAAAGTGGGAGGGGGGAGCATTGATACGACTGCGTACAAGCAGGTCTCTCAGATTTTTATCCCGTCTGAAAACAATGAGAGGTGGGGAAGAGAAAATTTCTCGTGTGTCGGTGTCTGCGAGTAGTATAGATCGATGTTTAAGGAAAACACGTTTAGCAATCAGATTGTGAGGGTGATAAGTTAAAATGAGTTTTGTCCTGTCAACATTGTCGCTCAGACGTGGTCTGAAGGCATCAGCACGTGTAATATTCTTAACCCTTTGGAGGGCTGATGAAAGTACTGTCTCCGGGTAAGACCTACACCGGAAAAAGTCTATCATTTCAAGTGCCTTGTCCCAAAAGTCCTCATCCGACCGACAAAGTCGACGAAGACGAAGTAATTGAGAGAAAGGAATAGAGTCCTTACAGGATTTAGGGTGGGATGAAGAGTAGAGTAGATAGCTATGGCTGTCAGTGGGCTTAAAGTAGGCAGAGGTGTGTAGGGTGTCTTTGTGAAGAGTGACTGTAATGTCTAAGAAATTGACTGAGGTCTCAGAGATAAGAGATGTGAATTTAATGGAGGGGTGAAAGGAGCCTACAAAGTTAATGAACAGGTCAAGTTCACTCCTCTCCATAGTGGTGACCCCTATACCATCATCTATGTACCTCTTATAGAATTCAGGGAGGCGTCCAGTATAGCTGCTTTCGACCAAGTGTTCGAAATGCCCCATGAACAAGCAAGCATAGCTGGGTCCCATTTTAGTCCCCATAGCAACACCACTGATTTGGTCAAAGAATTGGCCACCAAACTCAAACGAATTGAGGGTGAGGACTAGTTCAGCCAATCTGAGGAGGGTGTTGGTGGGTATAGATGGGTGGGGTCTAGTCTCGAGAAAGAATTTGAGAGCTAAGAGACCGTCAGTGTGGGGGATGGAAGTGTATAGAGAACATACATCAAGAAGAAATAGATGATGTTTCTTTTCAGGAGGGATTATGATGGATTCAAAGGTTTGAAGAGCATGGTTGGTGTCCTTAATGTAAGTAGGCAGTGAGGCAACGATGGGTTGAAAAACTCCATCAAGGAATTCCGAGATATGTTCGGTGGGGCAAGAGCATGCTGAGACAATGGGTCTGCCAGGGTTACCATACTTATGAATTTTGGGAAGTAGGTAGAAGCATGGCTTACCGAGGTCACTATCGAAGATGTGTAGGGCAGAGGCCGATTTGGGGAGCGCTGATTCTGCAATCATTTTCTTGATAGTCCCTTTCACCATGTCGTTATGTTTGGTGATAGGGTTGTTGGTCCTCGGTTGGTAGAACTGGCTGTCTTCTAGTTGCCTATGAGCCTCCTTGATGTACAGATCTCTGTCCCACACCACAACAGCTCCCCCCTTATCAGCTGGTTTGATGACGATATCTTTCCGACTGCGCAGCTTAGAGAGTGCGAGTGATTCTCTTTTAGAAAGATTGGATTTCCGGAGTGGAGGTAAAGAGAGGTTCTTGATGTCATGTTCCGTGCTCTTTATATATAAGTCTAAAGCTTTAGATTGATTAGAAGGTGGTGTCCAAGTAGATTTGCGTTCCCTATGAAATGGAAAAATCTCGTCTTCGGGGAGGTCGGTACTTTTCCCACCGAAGTGAAACTGAAGCCTCAAGGAACGAAAGTAGCGGTGGGAATCCGAAAGAAGTAGATATCGGTCGCAAGATGGTTTCAGAGGAATAAATTTGAGACACTTAGAAAGTAGCGACCTTTCGTCGGCAGAGAATTTCTAGTAATAGGCCACTGGCCGAGTATGAAGAGCTCTGTCCTAAATCCGGCCCACTTCTTTTCTTTCGGCGCAAAAATAGTTTATACATACTGATAATTAATTAGGCTGCATGGATGTGAGGTCTTAACTGCGTCTATTAGCAACATGTGGATTGGAGTTCAGTCATTAGCCACTAGCTGGAAGAGCATTACAACATCACTAGCTTTCCGGTTGGATGAGACTGGTTAACCTTGGATGGCAACTCATCTAAAAGAAAGGAAACTCTGCTTTCAAACCGGGAGACGGAGTCCCGTAGGCGGTATGACATTAACATAAAATTCGAACAATTTCTGCGACGCTCTTTGTGCAAAAATTTGAAATTCCTTTGTGTGATTCACGGGGTGCGGTGAGAAAAGTGATTTGTCGACTATAAGATAATCAGCTTATCCTCCTAAAGAAATTTCCAAGGCTTGTGATTTCCTCCCGGAAAGTCTCCATTATCTTCACAGCTTGACAGTTAAGGCCTAAAAAGAAACCTTGAGTTTTTAAGAAAATATTTAGTTTTATTTTTCGTAGAGTCGGAATCCCTGAAATAGACAAACGTCTAATAGTCAACTGGAATCTGCAATAGCAAATCAGCCAGGGTGGGTTGAATAAGTTTGTGTGGGTTGAAAAATGTATCATCTTTACGCCGAATGTTTTAAGGAAAATAAAATGCTGCAATGAGCTGCACAGCTGTATTTAAGTGTTTGGGACGGACCTCAAATCGCACCAAGCGTCCCATGTTTGATTGTCGTGAAGCTCTAAGCCTAGTGGCATAAAGGATTATTAGTATCAATATTAACGTAGATCAGTTCTCATATTGGTGTCAGTGATATTCAAAATGAATCGGGGAAAAAAATAACGTCAGAGCCGTCCTATGGCGGGCCCTTTTTAAACCCTGCTGAGCTAGTGGGCCGTGGAGATCTAAGGGACCAAAAGTCTTAATGGGAAAAAAATTTAAACTTCGAATGGAGAGGGCCTCCAAAAGTCATTCAGCGGCTAGGATAAAATAATCTTCATATTTAAAGGCGGTTTTAAAAAAACAAACTGAAACCATTTAGAATATGATTAAAACTGTGTTAGTTTCATTATTACATTGGATGTTTGATAGAATGGCAAGATAAACACCATAAGCACCCCTAACGGCTGGTGTAGGACAGGGGTGCGAAGGGGCGATCCGCTCCGGGCGCAATTTTTTCTTATATGCGGAGGGGCGACATTTTCGGCCAACGGCAAAGTTTTCTCGTGGAAGTGGGATGGCGAAAAGCATTTTCAATTTTGGCTACGCCACCGCCCATCTACCCCCGGCCCCCCACCCGTGTGTTCGCCTATGCTTGTATCACTTACTGTCAATACTGAAGAGTGCCTGGCTCGGCTGCTGCGACAGGAGGCTGTATGTTAAGGTATCTTTTTCGGCATCCGTCGCCGTTACCTGATACACGGCGGCTGTGCTCACATCGAACGTCGACGCATCCAGTGTGGCAGTAGCAGTGGGGTAGGCCGTGATCACGGGTGGGGAGTTGGGTGTGACGTACACAAACAGCTTGACTCGATTACTCTTTACACTACTGGCTGCGCACTCCAACTGAAATTTCATTCATAAAATTAAGCTTCATTCCTATGTTTTTTATGTCTTTAAAAAAACGAAACAAAAAACATTATTTAAAGAATATATATGTCTGAACAATGTACTTTCTGCGGTATAGGTTAATAACACGAATGATTCACCCCACAATGATCTTTAGAAAGGAGTTTTGAAAATATTGCTTCTCCTTTTTCTTTTAAGTTATTAAGATAATCGCATATCTTCCAATGAAACATTTTATTTTCAACTCTTAAGTATTACGTTACTTGAGATTCTGGGTATTTCAATTGCTTAAATTATACTTATAAATAATAATGACTATAAATGTTGGATTTTGAACAAATGGTATGAGGAAAATTACACTTATGTATTTTTAAAACCAAATAAAAACGGATTTTTTACATCGTCATACTATTAGATATTATTATATTGTATTTTAAAATAGATCTATCGATACGAGAAAAATAATAATCTATATTTCTTTTTTTTTTAAAGAAAGAAGCATATATATACTCATCGAAAATAAATACTTATTACTGGAATCTCAAAATTATCTGATACATTTATGTAGTAAAATGTGTAACTTTACACACACACACACACACACACACACACACAGTCACACATGATGCAAAAATCCAAGGTCAAAACTAAGATGTCGGTCTGTCCCACTCACCGTAAGTTCATAAAAATTGGTTGTAGAATAATCCAAGTTTGACGTGGCGTCGTATACCACCCAGAATTCAGTGGAGTACGGACTGACAGAGAACGGACCGTTAGGGCTGCTGGCCACCACGTCGCAATCAGTTACTGTAGCGCCGCCAGAATCCGAGACCGTGATCTCGACCAATTTGGTCAGCACCGTGGGGTCCTCGGCAACGTACGTCGGTTGTGTGAATTCATTAATGGTCACAGCCGCTGTCGTTGGTGAAATCAGGAAGCAGACGCCGAATATCAATAGCCGAAACTGACCCTTGATTTCCATGAAAAACTGTTTCGGGATCTTTATAAGTGGACTAAAAAAAAATGATATTAGAGTGTTGCTGTTTTTCGTGCGGTCATTTGAAGCAATTGTTAAAATTGTTTTATATTTTCAACCACATTCCAGTACTAAAATTCTTTTTTTCCTTCTTTATTTTGGTAATGAAAGAAAAATACATTTTAAATTAGCTTTAGGCCATGTATATTATTCCTTTTGTTTTTCTATAACATGATTTTGGCGATGTTCATACGATCTTGTTCTGAAAACTTGAAAGAAAAAAAAATTAACCGAAATAATTAAAATAAATGTTAAACTCACCCACATAACTGTGCGTAAAATGTAACAAAGAAAACAACAAAAAATTAGTAATTTCACACAAAAGAAATTCATTCATTCTTGATCTTTGAAAGTTACGAAGAACTATTTAAGCATTTACCGACTTCTTTTTTTACTTATACGTTTCTATCGTGACAGAAGCAGTTCCGATGTGTACACGGAAGAACTCTGTTTAATCTATCACATAAAATATAATGATTAACGGCTCTAATAATGTTTCATAGCACGAACCACTTTGTCAAAATGTAATGGGCTGCAACGATTATTGCCAAATATCACGATACAAGTTGTCCGACCTCTTTTAAATCTTGCTTTAAAATTGCGGTTAATTTTTTTTTTAAAAGACGCCCGAAGGCCTTCAATGCCAAGTCGCGTTCACTTCTGTATCCCAAGTATAAATAAGCCTGAAATCACTATGAGCAAGCTTGACAGTACGGCACAGGGACACCTTCAATATGGCCCGTGCGTTGATCCCAACTTCTGTGACGCATTTTGGCGTCATTCATAATGTCTTCGCCTTTTTGTCTCGCAGACTCTGCTCTGTGAATGCCTTTCTTTGCTTTCGATTGAAAAAAATCACGCAATGTTCAAAGAGACTTGAAATCCTTCTCAATGAATCCGTATGACTGTTTAGAATATGTGGCTCCACTGGTGGAACTCTCTGACCACTTTAAGTAAATTGGGTTGGGTAGAGCATTGTTTTTCTTAGTCACTAAAATGTTCCTGAACCTGGCGCCCAAACTCACTCTACGACTCCAAGAAGATACCTTACAAAAACAAAATTTAAATGAAAGTGTCCCTTCTACATTGTGCTTTCCGATTTTAAAATAATACCTTCAAATGTCGTTATATGTCAGAAATAGATACAGAATAATTTAAATATAAAAAGGGGCTTGAGTGGTAAGGGTGGAGTTGCCATAAGCATTTTATGTTTTTAAAAGCTATTGATAAAATATGGTCTTAGTGTAAGACCTCCAGCACACTTACCAACGACCGTCTATGCCAAATAATTGAGCTGAACCCCCTGCGGGTAGTGCAACACGACGACTGAGGGGTCTTGTGATCAGACTGGGTTTGAAAGACTATGTCCCCGTCGGTAAGAGGCATGATTTCGCTCTATGACAAAATGGATTGGCTTTAAAGTTATTGATTCAGGTCAAAGAGTGTATAGGAAGGAACTGTGTATAACGATGATTTCATTGACGTGTGGAGAGTCATTGGGGAAAAAACACATTTCAAAAAGGCTTTTCAAGGGGGGATAAACGTTCTCGGGGTTATGTTTAACGACGGTTATTGCTTCCCTTTTCTGAAATAAAGGGGATGTATTGACTTAACTGTAATTTGTTTCGGGTCCACGAATGTAGACCCCAAATTATTTATGTATTATTTTCTATTCTCTTTTCTTGGTTGTTTTGATTTGCAGTCGAATGCTATTAATCGAGACGTTCGCTGTTTGGTTTCGTCTCTCTTCAGGCTTTACCCTTCCATGCAATTTACACTTTTTAGTACATGCAAGGTTAAAAGAATAATGAAAAGCTTTTACCCAGATTGTATGTTCAAATGATAAATATTTTAATTTCGACTTAGTGTCTCAGGTTTCAGGCAACACTGCAACAGAAAACATCTAAATAATACCAAATGTAATTTAATTCAAAACTTATGCTCAAAAATGTATTGAGGCCAGACTTAGAGTTAAGTAATCCTCTATCTACTCCATCTAGCTGCGTTAAAAAATCAATTGATTTGTAAAGCAAGTATTAAACATATTTAAATTATATCTGACATTGAATTTGAATGCATACCTAAGGGACTATTCAGACGGCTTTTTACTCTACGATTGGACTGCGTCAATGGCAGCTGTCACGACTATGTCAAAGGCAGCTGACAGTACAGATCAGCATCAGCCAGTAGTTCCAACGTTATATTTTACATAAAACAATAGTTCCCACGATAGATTACACAAACAATTATTTCTAACAATAGATTACATAAGCCATTAGTTCCAATAATAGATAACGCAAACAGTTAGTTCCAATTTTAAACAACATAAACAATTAGTTCCAACAATAGATTACATAAAACATTAGTTTCAACAATAGGTTACATAAACAATTAGTTCCAATAATAGATTACACAAACCATTATTTTAAACGCTAGATTACACAAACAATTAGTTCCAACAATAGATTACATAAGCAATTAGTTACAATAATGGATTACACAAACAATTATTTCCAACAATAGATTGCATAAACCATTATGCTTAAAACATCCTGCAATGAATCATACAAAAAGGGATCACCATCATTTGGATAAAGTTAAAAAATAAACGAATAATCTCATTACAAAGGAAACACAGAAGCGCTTTTCATCCTGGAGCTGTGCAGGATTTTATTTGAATCTCCTTTTAAAGTCAAAAATTCTTATCGCCCCTGCTCCAGCGCTTTGACTACAGTGACCTTAGACTGATCAATGATACCCTTTGATAATTGCCGATAAGAGACAAACAAAACTACAACATGTTCATTTTGCAGCTGAAGCTCCTTGACATTGGCCACTTATAATTTCTAATGATAGTTTACAAGACGTCCCATTTCTTTGGAGACTTCCCCACGCAATTCAATGTGATTCTCTTTTCCTTATGGTTTCCCTCATCTAAGTTTTATTTTCTATTTTTTGTTTGCTTCTGAAGACTTCTTGGGCCGAAACGCTTGATGCTTAGTTGTGTCATCTTTCAAGTTCACCTCTTCACTCTATGTTATTTTTCATTTTGGTCAATTATTATGATTTTCGGTCCCCCCCCCCTTGTATATGATGACGTTGCTAAAACAGCTGTATCTAATAAAGCATAATATAAGTGAAGTGATTTACAATAAGAGAAGTGAGAATATTGAAAACAAATGTGGGGAAAATGTCAACTAGTGGCTCTAAACTTTAATCAAGATATAAATTTGTTCATTTAGTCACTTTAAAATAAAAAAAAATTAATTAAAAAAACTCTTGTGTTTCCAGTTCAGTTAGAAATTATCTTAAATTTACAAGACACAAAAAAAAAATGTGTTCATTCAACAAGAAATGCCAAGCTTTTATGGTGATTACACGAAATACAAATTCACGCATTTCGGCATAACTACCTTCATCGGTATATCAAAAATATTTGCATATGTATTGTGGAGAGTCGGACCACGCACGAGCGCCGGCGCCGGACAGATTACCGGCCATCAGGGATTACGGCCGTCTGACCACCCAAACGTGTGGAGAGTCGGACCACGCACGAGCGCCGGACCACGACGGCGCCTGACGTAATCCGTCTCACCGAAGGATCAAGCTTGTGGAGCACGACGGACCCAAGGATCAAACGCCTGACCAATTACGGCCGTCTGACACCCAGACACGACCATCCATCTGACCAGGGCATTTACCTGGGACGTCTAGACCGACAATTGAGAAAAAGGGGGCGGGGTATAATCTGGACTGGGAGAGGAACTATGGGACGGGGAGGTATAAATAAGGAACTCTGGACGGGACGAGGCAGAGCGCGGCCGGATGGTTAGAAGGGAAGGCGGCCGGACTGTGAACTAGATAGCAGGGAGAAGCCAGAGCTGTGAGAGGAGTGAAAGTGTAAGCAAGTGACAGACCAAATAAAGAACACGAGGTTAATCAGCAAATGTATCACCGGAGTTGTTTCCTTATTGAGTACCAGATCTAGATGAAGTTGTCAGAGAGTAAGCAAGGTTTCCTTACAGTATTAATTAAATTAAAATTATATATATATATATCCTACCTAAGTATTGGGCACACGCCCTCTCCTTCACTTTTAGGTACGGTTTCAATTCCCAGCTTTAGGGGCACAATTTAAAATATACACAAACACACAACACAGGCTCGCATCCGAAGTCTCACTACAGCAAGTGTCCTAAGCGGTCAGCAACTTATGGAACCCAGAGCAATAGTCATTGGCAAGTGAAAAGCTTCTAAACTATGTGGTTTGATGACTTTTATGTGCTTTATTGACCTGAAAGTGGTTTGTTGAATTATAGGTGGTTTGTTTCTTGAAAGTTTACCACAAGAGGACGTATATCTAAAAATTGTGTCAAAAACAGATTTATGTCTTATAAGTGTGTCCCCAAATGGAGCTGGAAAGCACTTCAAGCATTTAAAATCTTCAGACCGTGTTCAGGTTGTACTCTTCGTCCACATGAGTCGTCACGTGCTGATTCAGTGTATGACATTAGATTACAGTTTCGGCAGGAGCATAACACACAGACATAAGAGAAAAGTCGCTACACCATAGAGCAGAGGCGTAGCGAGGGGGGTGCAGGGGGGGACAGTTGTCTCCGGGCGCCAGGTAGTTAGGGGCGTCAAAATGCGCTTTGATATTATTTTATTGATGAAATTAATGGGTTTGAGAGTTAAAAAGAAGAAAAAGGGGCGCTTTAAAATGGATCTTGTCCCCGGGCGCCAAACACCCTCGCTACGCCACTGCGTATTATTTCGTTAACAATGAACGCGTACGCGAACAAATCACCCGGGAACCCCACTAGAACACTTTGCCACATTGGGAATGTTTACTTTCATCTAAATTGAGAATCTGAAACTTCGAAATCAGACATTGTCGAATCTTTAAGTATTATTACTAGTATTATTATTTGTATTGTTTCAGAATGGAGTGATCCCACATTTTTACGTCGACTGTAATCTTTGTCTCTCGTGACTTCAAGCTGTTTCTCGGTACTACGTTGTAGCTTAAACCTTACACAACACACCAAAGTTATAACAAAAAAAAAATTAAAAAAATAAGAAAATAATGTATAGACAAAAATTAACATAATTTTTTAATTCAAATCTGTATTTCTGGTAAAGGTGTAAAAAATTAATTTGAAAAAAAAAAATGAAATAAGCAAGATTTTGAGGAGCTTGCCTAACAAATAAACAAAACTACAACAACAACAACAACAACAACAACAGCAACAAAACAAAAACATTAAACTTAATGTGAACGTTCCTCAAAATAACTAAAAGACACATGTGTGTACCTACTTAACCTGGTGTGTCGTCACGTTTAGGGTTACACCTGTCAATGCACCTCCATCTTGGAATCGACATCGAGAATCAACGTTATCATTTCTCCTCTATTTCACAACTAATATTATATCATTTGAATACGAACAACTGTCCACTCAACTCCATTGCATGACTCTAAAACACACATTAAGCCCTACCATCCGATTGACTTTAACCCTATGTAAACTGTGTTCCCCAACACAAGCGGAAACTACGTGAACAGCATTTCTCATATTAATAAACACATGCAAATATGAAAAAGGAAAAAAAAGGAGGGCGGGGGTGGGGGGGGTTGGTGGAGAATCTCTTTTCAATGACGTCTATGACCTTCTCCACTTGTATCTTGCAACGTATCTTTCCTTTCCGTATTAAACCATTTCAAAAGAAGGCAATGGATCGATAGTCTGGATTAGTTGATGTTTACATAGCTTGACCCCGGCTGTTCATTGCTATTCACGGGTGTGTG